AACCATATGCAACCTGCCTTATCTCGAGCAATCGACGCGAAAAAAAAACCGCGCCGCTTCACCGTGGCTCCAGTCGCTTAGACTGACAACAAATCTCAGGAAGCTTTCAGCAAATCCAGATGATTGTACTGCAATGTGTGCATCATCGCATCATGCCTGAATCTGAGAACGTCATTCACGAGTCTGCTCTTCGCGATGGTGCTAACTGCCTTGGTGGCGGCTGGAGTGACGGGCGTGGGTGCTGGGACCTACCTCACTTGGGACAAGTTGCCCGGCCCAAACAAGTGGCTCCGACCTTTCAGTTTCTCATGTCTAGCGGAAGAACTTCGCACCCAGAAGACACGGACTCCCCCAAAAAATTGTCCTGCTGTCGGTGCAACGACACCCCGGTGGGAGCCTCCCAAGTCAGCAGAACCCCCGGCCCTAGGTCTCGCACACCTTTTCCAAAACCGACCTCCATAGGTATCCCAAGCCCTTCATCGTGAAGCAGATTTTGGCGAAGCTCCCAGGCCTTCTCAGCAAGTCACTGGCTGGGTCACCGTCCCTTGGATGAAGCTCTGCGACGACTCACGCGATGCGGCTTTTGTGGCATGAAACCGGATGAATGAAACGACGAAAGCGCGGCTATCCGGTGCTGCCAGGCTTGCTGTGTGGCCAGGGGCCAGGCTTGCAGGGACTTCCCATGGAAAGACTGGAAAGGAGTTTATGAACAGCAAATTCTTCTGAATGGTTAGGAAAGTTTCCAACGCCAGTTTGTCATAATTTGTCAGTATAGTGGCTCCGAAATAGATTAAAATTGTGTTCCCGACCGTTTTGGAGGGAATTCACTTTTGTATTTGTTTCTAGGGTTACAACAATCAAGCTAAGTAATATGTGTTTATTGCATAAATCCATCAACCATGGTATTGTTTCTATCCCTTCCGGTCTTTGAACGATGTCGGATGCTTCTTTGTGTCTCAAGTTTCGTTTCCCGATGTTCTTGATCCATCTTGAACCTCACACGTTTGCCGGTTAGAGAAGGAATTGGAAGGGTTGCACTGTATCCACTGAGCCAGTTGATGAGATCCCTTTTTGGGGTCTTCACACCGGACCGGCTTGAAGCCCCTCACCGGCTTGCCGGCTTGCCGACGTCTGAGGTGCTCTGTGGACTCGATCGATTTCTCCACGGGCTGCGTTTTCACCATCAAACTCGGAGGCACTGCACCAACTCACCCAGTGCTCGTGTGGGCGCTCGCTCTGTCACGATGGGTTTGATTGACTCACGCACGTGAACGTGGGGTGTCGTTCACATGGGGCAGGGTGGCATTGACCGGCCTAGTACTCTGAATTCACCATCGAAGTAGGTGTGCAATTGCTGCTCCCCTGGTTTAACGGGGTGCTGGGTCCCCTCCCAAAGGATGACCCCATGGAATGCCCCTGTAATCATGTGTACATCATTTGACCGTTCAGTTGTGGCCTTTACTTGAATGTACTCGTTCCACCTCTCCAAATTGGACCTCCTGGGAGACGTCGTCTCCACGGCCGTGGCGGTTTATGGAGGCGTCCGGATCGGCAACTTGGAGCCCTACAAGAGCCCCAATCTGGTGAAGATCGAGTCCATCTGGATCAAGGCGTCCGTGGTGAGTCCAGTTTGGAATGACATGGAGCCCTACATGTGAATGTTTCATGTTACGAGACTAATATCATGTTGAACATGATCTCCAGCAAAATGAGGTCAGTTCCTGACCGCCCCGGTGTGGAAACAAGGTGGCCCACTCTATGAGGGTCTGAAAAAGGTGGCCACTCTAGGTGGGCCAGTAGAAAGCTGGCCCAGCCATCTCACAGGGTCGGCTTGTGTAGCTTGGCCATGAGGGCCACCCAATCAGCTTCACAGCGAGGCTTGAGGCTTAGAGGGCAATGGGTACTTAGTGCAAATGGTTTGTCAGTCATGTTTAGTCATGTGTGCCGTTGTTTTCCCTCGTCTGAGCGGATATATGCAGAACTGAAGGAACGGAGAAGACTTTCCAGTGGGATACATGCACCGTGTCAGGTGGACGTGAAATCTTTCATCAAGTCAGGCAGGGCGCGGTCGGCCGGTTTGGGGGGTTTCCCTGCCGATCAATTCAGTGTTCCTTTGATTGGCCCACCCGGGTGGGTTTGGGAGTCGGGAGACCTGCTTGGCACCCGTCGCGAGGCCTGATTCAGGTGCCGTAGTATTGCAGGGGTCATAGCCGTTTTTCCTGTCGTCCATGGCTTCGACGGAAACCCCTTCCGCCCAGCGTGACATGACGACATGACTCCCAGCTCGGCTCCGCCTGAAGACCCGGTCAACAGCATGGCGCGCCCGGTCGACCGGCGCAGTCGAAAGACTCACAGACCGAGGGACCGAGGGACGGCATCTCTTCGTGGTTTCCCCGGAGATGCAGGAACTCAGGCCAAGCGTCCAAGGCAGAGACGCGAGGCTTGGTAAGGACGAAACCTTTTGGTGTCTTGTTTAGACTAAACAAGACACCAAAAGCACCGACCTCACAGCACTCCAATGACACTTGGACCATCTCGGACCTGCCATGACCTGCCCTTTTCCCATCGAATCTCCCTTCTGGCGGCCCTGGACAGGCTCGCCCGTCGGACTCGTCAGGTTTCAAAGAGCTTGTGGTGGACTCCCTGTGGCTCGACGGTTTGGTCCTGACGGTGGAGAAGCGCACGTTGCAAAGCTCCAACGTGACGGACTTAGTGGCACTCTTGAAGGACAAGGACGACAAGGAGGTGGGAGACCGTAATGGACACGCTGAGCGAGCTGAGCGGAGACGAGGAATGGGTACGGTTATGGACACATGGACACACGTCGGACCGGGCTGGTAAAATGATGTATACTGGGACACGTTGCTGTTAGGTCGTGCTGAGTTGTACTGTAGTGTGCTAAACCTGTCTGTAATGATCTTGTATAGATGATAGTATAATTTATACATGATATTTACATGGGTTTGCAGTGACTGCGACGAGGATAAGGGTTGGTGGATGTCACATATGGCCAGAGGAATCCGGATCTCGATGATCCAGGAATCTCCTGGCAAAATCAGACTGGGCGTTAGGAATGACAATCACCTGGATCTTCCAACGACCAAAAAATTATGGTAGTTTTGGTTATTGACCCGGTTTTCCGCGCAAACGCCCGCAAATCAGCGCAACCGACAAAACGACCGCAAATTAGCACAAAACGCGCGCAAAAAACCAGCAAACGACCACAAAAATCCGCAAAATAACGCAAAACAAACAAAACGACCAAAACGACCATAAAACCAAAACAACCATATTTTTAGGTAGTTGGAAGGTCCACGCATATATAATAGTGGTCGGACTACCGCATTGGTTAGCCATCGCTATTGGGTTGGAGGCCATCGCTATTAGGTTGGAGGCCATCGCTATTAGGTTGGAGGCCATTGCTATTAATTAGATTCCTTCAAGTCTATTAGGTTGCTTAGCTGCTAATTGACGGTCGTTCACCACCGTTTCGCCTCAACATGCGAACGGTCGTCGATGCTCCTTTTGATTGGTCAACAAGGCTCTCCCCGTTTTGAACGTCCAGCTGGCTGTTTGCCTTTTTCCACCGTCACCGCATTCTTCCTTTCCCCCGCGAAGGTCGATGGAGAATAGAGAGGAGCATGGTACTCGGTACTTCCCCCACCTTGGAAAGTAAACTCCCTCAAACAATCATGATTACGTGGATGGCATGGCCCCGAGTTCGATTGACCATGAAATCCGAATACCAGACAGGCAGTGCCATCCACGGAACCATGATTCGCTTAGGGAGTGTACTTACTGTGGAGATTACGGTCCTCTGAGAACCTGCAAAAGAAACACTAAACCAGGTACTGAACCAGGTTCGGCCTGCCGAAGCCGCCCGCGGCTTTTTTGCCGCAAACGCGGATTCCGGCGAACGGTTTTGCTCCACCGCAGGTCGATGGCGATGGAACGGCGCCCAGCGGATTGGGGGAGAACTTGCAGGGCGTGGTCTCGAACGTGGTGGACACGGCCTCGAAGATCACCCAAGGCCGTTTCGGCGATCTTCGAGGAACATGGGACGTTGGTTCAAAGAACTACGCCACACCGTTTTGACTCGGTGCCTGCTTTTTTTATCCGAGGTTTAGTCCGCTACCTTTTCCAGATCTGGCTGGATATTATAAAACCAAGCAGTGGGTTGGAAGACGTGTTTGACCAGAAGGATCCAGAAGGTGTTTCTCTCAAAGACTTGGAACCCACCGAGCAGGTCGATGAAGGTGAAGTCCTATGACGATCGACTAGCTACGATAAGTTTCCGAAGTTTCCAGTTTAGATCCAGTTTTAGCTGGTCGATCTAAGATCAACATGGGACGTGTTCAGGTATAGGGTCGGGTGAGGATTTGCGTATCCAAGGGGTTAGGAGTTAGGAGTCACTTCAGTATAACGGTGACGCATTGAGAGCATGTCATCTCTCACTTCTACCGCGGAAGATGGACGGACCTCATGAGGATGTTGCTCGGCGTGGCAACCACGGTGGACCTGTTGAGTGAGTCGCAGTGGCAACGTTCATGGGAACAACATCGCACCCCACCTCGCAGGCGCCATGGATGTGGCCAAAGGTGTGAAGAAAGAACCACCCGAGGACGGAACATGAGACATCACGGAATCATGAATGATCCACGGAATCACATCTCGCCAGGTGCTTTCTTCAGATGGACTCACCGTTTTCTACCTGGGATGGACTCATCTTCGATGTTCGGAGTTGGATCGTCTCGTCTCGTCTCTTCTGTCGGAGTCCGAACCGAACCGCAGAGGTTCGGAACGTCGACCCCCGCCGGGTCGGTGCGGGCTGAACCACCGGGACCGACCCGGTGGCCGAAGAGGGTCCAGACCAGCCCAAGGTGCCGAAGGGGTTCGTTCTGTTTAGGAGCAGAAGAACCTAAGAGCGGTCCGATCGCCCCCGTTCGTATCGATGCCCTTTGGTCCTAGCGAGCATTGCTCCTAGTAGTATATAGGCCAGGAGCCCCGAACGTCGCGTCCGAACGCTCCTAGTATGTTTGGGAGGAGAAGAAGAAGTTGCAGGTCATCGTGAAGCAGTTGGAGATGACTCGCATCAGTTCCACGGCGGTCCAACCGTCCGTCCGGAAGAACAGCCGCGGGAAGAAGCCGGACCTGGAGCGATAAACTTCGGTGCAGTCGGCCTGCGTAGCTTGGGTAGTCGGGGAGAATCATCCAACCAAAGAGCAGCAGCACACTACTTCTCCAAGCAAAGATCCGTGGAGGCACATCCATTTTCATGGGATCCGTTATCCCAGTCATCCCTGAGTCATCCCATGGTGTCAACGACACACGGAGCACCGGGGTCTGGGGAGCCACGACCTTCTGGGACAGAACTCGATCGATGGCTGGCGAGGTTTGGAAGGGGTGAGCGCGATCTACAGTGAGAACCAAACGCCAACCGTGCATTTGGCGGTGAAGGAGTCTTGGATTTACCATCTGAACATGCGCATAGGAGTCGTCACCATGTTTGGGAATGTGCTTGGAAGATTCATTCCCTCGCACTGTAGGAGGATTAGGTGTCCCGGATTAGGGAGGACCACAGTTGGCTTGGCCTTACCAACGCCGGTTGGTTGATTCGGGTATACCCTCAAGTGGCACCGACCATCACCGACCGACCAATGACGCCGTTAAGGGGCCGCCGAAGGAGGGGCCTCCAGGTACAACAGGTCCCCTAACACGTGAAAACAATGACCCGAGCTCATGCGATTGTAGATCAGAATGACTGCGGTTTTCCCAAAGACATCGGAGGCTTCCCAAGGGCGCCATATTGGATGGGGAAGAATGGTCCACGAGCTGCTTGCAGCCGGGTACTTTGTGGGCAATGAGTGCCAGACATGAATGAGTGGTAGCCAGACAAAAAACGGCACATGAATATGAGTTTATATACCAGGACCCTCGGGGTGCCCAATGGAAGCCTATAGGTAGTGTGGGGCAGTCCATTGGACACCCCTTGAAGGTCCAGGTATGAATTTATATGACTCTGATCGGATCCAGGCAGCTGGAAGCAGAATGGCGGGCAGGGCACCAGATTTTGACAGGTGCTATTGGGTCCGAGGTGTTGAACGGTCATCTGAAGAAACTGAAGAAGTCACACACACAAACCCAGGAGTTGAACAGGTCCTGCTTTTGACCTTCTAGGTGAGTGTCGCATATGCCGCACATGCCTAGCCAATAATGAACCACCCCCTTGGAACTCTGGCCTGCAGAGATCGCCTTCCTCTTCTGAAGAACCCTGGCGCAATGGGCCGGTGGTGACATGAGACCAAGAGACCAGACATCTTCCGTGCCCAGGATATCAAGTTGAAGGACTTCAGCCGTCAGAAGACGCGGCCTGACCAGTTGGTCCGGCTGATTTTGAAGCAGATCATTTTCAGCTCCTTGAACGTGCCTCGGAGCTCCAGGGTGGCCGGTTTGGGTTCGGTGGAATTCCGGTGGGGTTCGTCACACCCTCAGCGGACCCAGCAGGGCACTTAAAGAAACATCGAGCAACAATGAACCATGCAGTCACTTATAAGGTCATGCACTGAAGCTGCTGGTGCTTTGTTGCTTGGGTCATTTGTTCGATGGCTTTGCTTTGTACTTAGACTTTTGCATCAAGACTTGGGACCGGACGTTTTAGTTCAGGTTGCCAACATGGCAAAGACATCTCGGGAAGACTGGTCGTGCAAATTATCATTCATCCCCTGTCAGACAAAATCGGCATGTTTGTACCTTGACTGCATGTGTTGGTCAACTATATACTGTAATCGTTTTCAAATAATTGTGCAGCACTTGCACGAGGGGTTGGAGAACTGCTATTGAATGCGTCACTGCCTGCCATTGTTAAGTCGACAAATAAAACACCAGAAGAGACATGTGGGGGTGTGGATGTTTGCACACAAAAATGGAGACCTCAGCTTGAGCATTTGTGAATTTAAGGCCGTTGGGGGGGCTGAGTGCAATCTTCGTGGAGACCGCCGGCAGCAGCAGCGACTCAACTGGAGAGTGAGTGAGGGGTTGCCGCAGGCAACTGGCAGAGTCGACAGCACAGCGTGACAAGAGCTGTCTGCCTGTCTCAAGAGCTGCCACCGCATGATTAGCAGTGGACTGGTAGCTCACGCAGACGACAGCACAACAAATATCCAGCTCCAAGTACCTCCTCAGAAGGATAGTAGTACCATGTAGTACCATCCAAACCTGGAGCGTTGGGGATGGGGGATTGTACTATGAAACAATTAGGGTGCCTGACGGGTGGGAGCTAGACTCCTGGACGTAAATCCACGTGAACAGAAACCCTCTGATCTTGTGAGTAGGCATTTTCCGACCAATTGGTCCCCCGAAGCACCAGTGCTGCGATTCGGAAACCAACCCATTTAAGGAGCCAAATAAGAGAGTATAGGACACCGTTTTCGTCAGCCACAACCATCCAGAATCCATCTTTTTCCGGACGACGAGGCTAAGATTTCAAACAAAAACAGCCTCGTCGAAGCCACTCGAAGCCATCGCACCGTTGGAGTTCACCCGCTCCGATTGATCGCGTGAGTGGCGCTGCGACGCGCTGCCACACGCTGCGATCAACGTGGTGACGGAAGGTCACAAATAGAGATGTGTTTTTCATTCAGGCTCTGGGGTGGTTAGACACGATCCCTTTGAGTGTTCTACAAGGTCACAGGTGGTCACCTGTAGATGGCTAGTGACGAAGGTGCCACCAAGCTCAGCTCCAGGCTAGAGAGATGGCTAGAGTTTTTGTTTTCAGCATTGGTTCTAGTCAGCTTGGCTAGTGACTAGGATCTTTTTCACCTCTTTCATGGCGGTCCCTCAGGGTCACCCAGGCGGCCGCGTTGAGGCTGGTGGCTCTTGGAGCAGATGGGCGGTGCCTTGGCCACGGCGGGCACGGTGGTCACCTCGGCGGGCGACGCGGTGATTTCAGTGGGCAGCTGCGCCTACTGCAAGGTGAGACACCGGGGGAGGAGGACCGGACCGGGAAAGGACCGGAGGGGACGAGGAACAGACACGTGCGGGTGTTGACCGGCGCACCCATTTAAAAACACTGAAAGATCTGGAGGTGATGGAAACAGGACGTAAAGATGAAACATATAGAAGGATTGATAATTTGTCCCTGCAAATCTCAGGTCGTTGAGAAGGTAGGTACAGTATCCTGATATATCCTGTCCTAATTAGGTAATGGAAAATAGATGACAATAATAAACACTATATAAAAAATACTTTCTTGGGAAGACTGGAGCATGTGTCGACCTGGATTGCTTACATTTTGCCACGAACAAAAGGATCTGCGGGCTCCCAAAGGTAGGGCGATGTCCAAGCTTTGGACTGGTATTGGCAAGGAAGGACTGCAGGTGAATGGACTTATTGAAAAACATTCTACTGCCATATTGGGGTGGTGATGTTTTAGGAGTCAACGGGCGCACTGCCCCCCATTGTGAGTGCCATGTGAGTGCCCTCCTTGTGGGTCCAAGTTACGGCACCGCCGGCCAAGTCATCCGAAGAGCCGATGAGTCGAGTGGCCGCGCAACCCTTGGTCAAGCGCCCCGAAAGTGTCTCACGGCGGAACTCGGAACTGCGCGGCGCTCGAGGAAAGCAGTGAAGAGCCTGTGAAACAACGACGAGAACCATCCTGTTCTGTGGCGAACAGAACTCTAAGAAACTGCACCAGATGCCCAGGACCCCACAGCGAGATGCCCAGCGACCTCTCCCCCCCCCAAAAGCGACAAAAAAAGGGCAGGCTTCCTGGATGAGGGCTGCGATAGGTTGGAACAGGGAACGAAGTTTCAGTCAGGAAAAACTCCTGGTTCCTGTTTGACTCAAGATGAGGGGTTTGAAAAACCATGAGGGACTAACTTGAAGATGGCAATTCAATTTCTTCAACCAAGCACACTCCCGATCCACCCAACCAAAATGAGAACTGGCCTGGCCGAATTCTGAGCCACTGCAGCCAGGTGGCCTCCCTCTTCCAGGCTGAGACTTCAGCTGAGGCTGTCAAAGTTGCCTGAG